CTCTCCTCTCCTCCCTCCTGCACCGTCCTGGAAGAGGCTCGCAAGGGCCACCCCACTCCTGGAGCGGCTGCTGCTGCTGCTGCTGCCTCCGGCGCTCCCTGTCACTTGCTCGGGTGTCACTTTGGCCGGGGGTTGTTTCCTTTGGGAAGCTGGGCTTGCAACGTCCTGTCCTGGAGGAGGAGGAGGAACGCAGGGAGAAGGGGGGGGGGGGGGCTTTTACTGTAGAAAGTTTCTGGATCCCTTTTGTTTGAAAGTTTCTCCCCGAGGTTGAAAACACTCTCAAACGCCATCGCCACCTCCACTACCCACCTCTTCTTGCCCTGCTATTTTGGGGGACAAAATTTTTACAAATCTCCGCATGCAGTCCCGCTCTTGAGTTGAAAAAGTTCAAGTTCAGACCACCTTTCTTTGCCACTTCCACTCGCGCTCCCCCCTCCCACCCACCGACCCCCAAGAGAAGCAGATCTTCAGAGAGCATTCCCACCCCACCCCCAGCCTGCTCTTTCTCAGGCATACTTTCGCCATTGGAAAAAAGGAAAAAAAATTCCTTCTCTCTCTTCCTCTCTCTCTCTCTTTCTCTCTCTCTCTCTCTCTCTCCTGTACTGTATACTGTATCCATTTTTTGGCGCTTTGTGTAACTTTGCAATCTCGGTGAAGAACTCTCTTCCCTCCCAGCTTCGAGAGTGAAAGTTTCTTGCGACTTGGAGCTGCTTTCCAAGCCTTTCAGCCCTTCCTTTGCGCCTGAAGGGCGACGGGTGGGCAATATGCGCGCCTTCCTTCAGCCTGGCCGGACTTGATGCTGGGGCTGAGTAGGAAACACTCTGGGACCCAGAATCACCGCCATTCCCCTTGAACTGCATTCCTCTAAACAGAAGGGGCGGGGGGGGGGGGGGGTCTGCAGCGAGCGCTTTTCGGTGCTGCAGTTTGACCAAAGTTCTCGGTCCCGGGTAACTTTGAACTAGTTCAGTTGCGTTCAGCCACTGGCAGAGCTTCACCGCCCTAACCTATAATTGATGTGCTTGTTATTGCAACCAGAATTGCTCCATAATCCAGTTTAACCATGTTGACGCTCTCAAAGTAGATTATAGGTGGAAGATACCCCTGGCTAATACTCTAGAAGACCTCTCCAGCTTCTGTCTTTCAAAGGCAGGCTGTTCTGAAAAGTTTTGTCTGACTTTTAGTGAACTCAGCCTGGATCCATCCTGTATTGACTTGCTTGCTTAGAATATCAACTATTTTTTTTCTTTACCATACACATTCCCCCAAACACATCTTCCTTTCCTCCTATTCCCCACACTGGTGCATAATACACTTTGACAATCTGATTTTTTTTTTAGGCCCAGTCAATACATTGTGAAGATTACAGATATACTTTGGTTTTATAACTGCTATAACTAACGTAAGGGTCATTATGCTGTAAAAGTGCTTTGCATTCTCAGCATGCATTTTGGAAATGGCGTTTAGGGATTCAAAGATACTTCTGCACAATGTAGCAAGAGAGTTGAATATGTACAGTCATTATATGGAGTATATGCTGCAGCGTGAAAAAAAAGCTTAAGTAGTTGGGAACATTTCAAAGCTCGTGTCTCCTTTAAATTTGTCCAGTGTGGTTTAAGAATTGATCGCAAAGCACACTTATCCAGCTAATGGAAATGGAAGACTGGGACAAAGTATCCGTCATAGAGTTATCACGCTCCCTATGCTTTCTACTATGGGTGTTTTACCTGTTTGTTGTTCCTGTATTGTCTTTTCATTAACAGATCATTATAGATGGGCAGACAAATAGACATCCACTTATGGTTTATAGACAATTTTAATGTTATGAGAGTTTATAAAACTGGCTAACTTTCAAAGAGAGCAATGTTAATGTCTTGCTTCCAATGAACAGTTAATGTCTTGCTTCTAGAACAGTGTGGCTGTGGGCTCAGTGTGTAGTAGTCCTTTTCCCTCCCTTTTTTTCAGTAGGGATTTAGAAATACATATTGATAGTTTTTCTTCTGTGATCCAGAATTTGCCTGTACAGTTATGGCCAAGAGCGGCTTAGAGCACAATATCATGAACCACAGAAAAAGATCACAAACTCACTTTTGTTTATTTCCCTTTCCTGCAAATGCTAGAAGACTCGTGGATGACACTTGTGATATATCAATAAGATTTTCCAGTGTTCAAGAGGGTATTAATGGAACTTTTGAAGAACTTTTCATTTGAATCCTAATTTAGGAGAGAAAAGCATGTCTTCCCCACCCCCTTTTACTAGGGATTGCTGTTTGTAATTTCTGTTCCTGATTCTGTGGAGATACCTTACCCTTTGAAATTTTGCTTGGAAAACCTTGGCAATTGAACAACTTTGATACAAATAGCAATGTAAAATGAAACATAAAACTATTATTTGAATATAGTATATGTTATCGGGTTACTTTTCTAGTCCAATCACAGCAACATTTTGAAGGCTTGCATTTTTGAGAGGAGGGGAAGAGACGTTATTTGAAAGTTGAGAGTGTTTTTTTTGCAAGCAATTAACCTCATGTATTGTTACATATATCATAATTGGATGGCCATATCCCAGCTTCTGTAATTTATACCATTTAAGTAGCTCCCCCATCCACTTTCAGGTATGTGCAAGGCTTTGCCTTACAAACAAAAAAGAACGATAGTTTTGGGAAAATTCAGGTTTCGGGTTAGGTTGGGTTGTGAGCATAGCATGCACAAGAACAGAAGCTGTTTGTAGTATGAGTCAAATTGTATTTAATAAAGCATAAAAAGATTTGACGGGAATGAAATATTCCAGCAACTGTTTTGTGTGTTGAATAAGATAAGCATTCAAAAAGTCCCCCTCCCTCCATTAATGCATTTGGGTGGTTCAGATTGTCTCCGTGTGCATCGAAATGGCCTATAAGTGTGTTAAACCATGGTCAAGAGTTCAATTTCCCCTTCATGGAAGTCTGTTTTAGAAATAGGTTCAGGAGGTTTAATTCATGTTTGAAACACAAAATGTATTTGGTTGTCTTTTCTCATTTCTAAACTCCCACAACCTGGAGCTTTGCTCAGTCTAATCACCAAAACTGCCATTATCGTAACATTTCTTTTTTTGTACATCTTCAAAACATATGTCAGATTTCTTTTTCAGGGGACTTGTGGAACTCCTCATTTAGTTAAATATTTATTTGATACTCTAAAGCCATCTAAATGTCCATGCTCCTATCTATTCCTTCAATATCTAGTAATACGTTTTTTGTTCCTTATTGTTTCTAAGGGTCTCCCCTTTTTGGGATTCCCTCTCATGTCCATTAATGTACAGTTAACTATTTATGGGCCAGAGAGGACAATAATATGAGGTTCAGCCTGTGAAAGTTTTTCATATAGTATAGTTGGACAACACTTATCCCCTTCCTTTCATTTCTGTGTTTGCTCATGCAAATTAATGACCTTTAGAGACCTTTTAAAGCACCATGTAAAGATACTCTTTAAAAAGAAAAACCTGAAATTACTTGTAACTAGAAGTTAAATAAATCAGGAACTCTAGTTGAAGTAGACAAGCTCTTGCTTGTGTCCTCCCTACGTAAGGCTCATATAGGAGCATACAACTAAGACGCTGCGTAGGAAAAAGATGGTGGGATTCCCCCAACGTACAAAAACATATTCAGACTGTGATAGCACCCCCTACAAGGACTAAGCTGGATTCATCAATACAGAATACAACTTCTCACAGCCATATGTTTGGAGGATCAGGCATTTATGTTGCACCTTTTTTTTCAAGAGGTAGTTGTACAACTAACTGCATGATTATAGTACTTGTCACAACCATTGTATTTCTAATCATCCAAATTTACAATATTCCTGTCTTTATTTAAACATTTACTATTCTTGCAATATGTTTACTGGTACTGGGAAAATGTTTAATTTTTAAATCTATTTTCACAAAAGGACACCATTATAGAGAGATAGATAGAATATTGGGTAGTAGAGTACTTTCTATAACAGTTATTTATTATTTTCCATAATACTTTTAGAAACTATTTTGAAGACTTTAAGCGCAGTGAACATGGTTTATAACTTGCTCCTTTTTTCTTCTTCTTTTACTTAAACAAAACTTTATCATTATATATAGTATACTAATTTTGTTTTACCTGTATAGATCGACTGCCCCTCCCACCCAGCCCAAAGCTTATCCTTTAATATGTAAGTTCAGGAGAATGTTGCAAAGGATATTTTGTATATATAATTACAAAGAACATATATTAGGCTTTTTTAAAAAAAATGTTGTCAATTGTAATTGAAGTTCCTTCACGCTATACTTACATATTAGGGAAGTTGTTTTTTTTTTTTACTCTACATCATGCTGTCATGTATCAACACTGATTGGCATCCAGATGTTTAAATATTGCCAAATTGGCAGTTGTGTGCTATATTGGCCATTGTATTCATAGACCGGACAGGGAAAAAGCGAGTCAGTGTTTCCTTTTTTGAAATTAAGGTTATAGTAATCTTTTTGCACACTTAAAACAAACGATTCTAGAATTTCTTTATTGATTTAAATAGGACTATCGTAAAGTCAGTGGTTTGGGGCTTACAAACATACATCTTTACCTGAAGTACATTTGATCAGAAGTCTGTGCCATGGATTTTAGTAGGAATTATTTCTGAACTAATGTAATTGGGACTGGCATGCTTGTTTTTTTTTTTGCATGTGTATTTCAAGATCTTTGATTTATTTTTTATTTTTTAAAGAATGAGGCCTAGCGACTACAGAAAATTGGTTTCTATAATACATTTCAGAAATTTTTGTTTCATCTTCAGCAAAGATACATAAATGCTTCGGTTGTAATCTGCAACATAGACTGCAGGGCTTTCATCCTCCTCACATTCTAACAATTCTTGATCTCTTAGATTTTAGTTATTGCTTGTGTATAAGTAAGTTGTAAGGTGATATTAAGGAAATCATAGAACTTTTACAATGTCAGTTTCTCTTTGTTTTAATACTTTGTTTCAATTATTTCCAGGATGAATTCCATCCATTCATTGAAGCACTTCTTCCCCACGTCCGAGCATTTGCATACACATGGTTCAACCTACAAGCTCGAAAGCGAAAATACTTTAAAAAACATGAGAAGCGTATGTCAAAAGAGGAAGAAAGAGCTGTGAAGGATGAATTGCTAAGTGAAAAACCAGAGGTCAAACAAAAATGGGCGTCCAGACTTCTGGCAAAGCTACGGAAAGATATAAGGCCTGAATACCGAGAGGATTTTGTTCTAACTGTCACAGGGAAAAAACCTCCATGTTGTGTTCTTTCAAATCCAGACCAGAAGGGCAAAATGAGAAGAATTGACTGCTTACGCCAGGCAGATAAGGTCTGGAGGTTGGACCTTGTTATGGTGATTTTATTTAAAGGTATTCCGCTTGAAAGTACTGATGGCGAACGCCTTGTAAAGTCCCCACAGTGCTCAAACCCAGGGCTGTGTGTACAGCCGCATCATATAGGGGTTTCAGTTAAGGAACTCGATTTATATTTGGCATACTTTGTGCACGCAGCAGGTAAGTGCCTTTACCCCATGTTATCCAATTTTGAATGCATTTTTTACTTTATTGACTTAGGCCAATACGTTTGTGCTGACACCCTATATTATTGTGCTGGTTTGAAACAATGATTAGGGTTCAGGTGTAAACCACAGTGGGAAAAAGTTAGATTATAGTGTAGTATTGTTAACAGAAACAAAATAATGGAGTCTTTTCTGCATATACAAAATATTTTTGTAAGACTATTAGTAAAACATTTGACTGTGTTTAAAGTTGGAAAACACAATCTTGTTTATTTTACAGAACTTATTATCCATGTATGCTAAAATCCAGCCATTTAGAGAAGAAATTGATTCTATTTCTGTGATGAGTCCAGTCCTTATATTGCTTAAGTATGCAAAACCTGACCAAAGCAGAATGAATTGGATGTATCTCATAGATACCTGAGCAGTTGATTTTAATTGTCACGACTAAAGAAAATCCTTGCTGAATGAGAGAGGATAACACAAATCTTCAGGAGTTTCCTCTTATATGTAGTTCATTGATTTTAGAGAAAGTTGATAATGTTGCTGTCTTTCCATTGTTTCATACTCTTAACATAAGCTAATTCTTATTAGCATACAAGCAACTAAAACAAATAAGTACTGCTACTGAGCAAAACTATATAGATTGCAATGGGTGTTTCCCACCATTGATTGTTTATAGTAGTTTTGGATCTTTCGTTGTTAGGGTTAACAGTGGCAGCAGTTTGACCTTTTAAAGCAACCTGGTGGTCTTGCTGTAGGTCCTTCAAATTTGCTTTTGTACAAATGAAGACTTCAGTTTGATGGAAAATTAGCTAGTATTTATGACCAAACAATTTTAGGTGCTCAGGATCTTCGTAGCTTGGTTGGGCTTATTTAGAATTTCTTGTGTGGTGATATTTTTGGAATTGCTGGCATGTACAATCAGAAAGAGATGCTTTGGTCTTTGTGCTTTTGTACAAAGGAACGATGGCGTGTGTTGACTTTGGAATTGGATGTGATGTTATTTGTGTTGCGTACTGGTAACAAATGCATTAAAATATTAGTGAATGTTTTATCCTTTTCTGTGGGGTGGATCCTTTAAAAAAGAAACATGCTTCTTTGTTCATCAAGTGACTAAAAGTGTGAGAACAGACTTTGTTTTAGGATTTTCTGTGACATGTAATAATTATATATGTTTTTCTAGAATTACGTATGGAAAAGTGATGATCTGCCAAAAGTTTTAGTAGAGACACTTAAGATGCTAAATGGCATGCTTTAATCTTTGTGCACCTGTTGATGTGATCATTTTAGGCTGACTTTTCAAATAATCAGTGATAGTCATTAAAATTGTTCTAAGGATCATCGTTAAAAAACATTGGTTTAATAAATGTAAGTGTTTAATCAATAATTTGCAGAAAAAGAGTTTTGTGATCATAAAACCTTTACCAAAAGTATGGCTGTAATATAATATAATATCGTTTGGAAAACAATTTAATATGAAATGTTTATATAGAGAATAGCCAATGCAAATTGCCTAACCTAATCAGCTATTACACCTATACAATTATATAATTAGTAATATTAATAATCTTATTTTACATGCATATATACTGTTACTATTTTAGTGAAAGCCCCTTTGCCTTCCAATTTTGTAATATAATCTTGTTTTTGAATTTTGAGGTTTTTGAAAGTAGGCTAAATGTTTTAATTATATATTTAATTACAATTAGTGTTTTGTGCACAATTTGTTTGAAAATGTAAAACGTTCATACCTTAACTCATTATTTTTCCACATTTTACTGTATCACACTCCTATCTATTCTCTGTGTTGTAGAGAATGTTTAAATAACTGAATCATATTGTTTTTATATACAAAATATCATTGATCAGACAACCCTCACTATTTGCACATGCAGGAGTATTGTTGTGGGTTTCTTTCTTTTTCGCTCTGCTATAACCCAGAATCCTTTGTCCCAACTGAACATTGGCCAAGTTGATAGTGATTGGTTCTTTCAGAGCCGCAGTAATGGCAACTTATAGTGTATGCGCAACAAGAGCATTAAGAAACAAAGTCTTGGAGGCCCTTTGTCTCCAGGTATTTCTAATTTTATGTAAGGCGTTTACTGCCAGTATGAATGTATCATAAAATAGGTCAGTTGGTCATCCTAAGTATAGCTGGGTTGAAGAATATCGGCTATGACCCAGAAGAGCTACACACAGAAAACATTATTTTTATTTCCTTAAAAGTTTTGAAAAGTTGCCAGTATTGGCAAGGGGAGGGGGTTCAGACTCCAGAACGGGCTTTTAGATACATGCCAAATCGTTGTGGCATTCCACCCAACGTACTGTTATTTTGTACTGATCCAAGATGCTTTCATTCTCAATGATTTTTGAAATAAGATGCCTCTTTTCTTCTTAAATGTATATTTATAACTGTTACTTTGTGGCCTTTAAAAATACCTATTTCCTATCTAGGAGCATGGCACAGTCACTTGCAAAATGAGAAATTATACTTCTCCTAAAATCAGAAAAAATATTATTTTAATTATAAATGGCAAAGAAGCCTGAGTCTAATATCTGGCAACTATTCCAGTCATTATGTATATTGAAGAAGAATTAAAATCAGAATTGTGAGAGTGAAGAGGTGGCTAAATTTGTGTGTAATGAGTTTTTTTCAAAAAAAGTTTCATGTTGCAGTTTTTTAAAAAAGCAAGGGTGAATTGTTTTATCCCAGATTTTGGGTTGCTTTTTCCCTTTCAGTTCTCCAGTCCATGTATCAAATGACATGCTGGAAAACTGTTGTGGCAAAGAGTACTCTTTGTGGGAGTCTTAACACCAAAGTAATTTATGACCAGTCCTCTACCAGATGATCTGTATCAGGATCTGCAATATACTAGGCACGTGGCAGGGTCACCATTTAAGTTGTCAGGGTCATAACCTTCGCCACTAGGCATTTGACCTTTGAGATAAAGTTAACCTTTGTTCATTAGTAGGCACTCAAGCGAGAACTTCCTTGTTTTTTACTGCAGCAGAACAACTCCAGCTATCATGGTCACATTGTAAAAGGGGATTCTGAGCTCAAGTATTAGGTTCTATGAGAGGTTAAAAGATTTTTCTGGGTTCTTTTTTTTTCTTTTCCTTTATTATTTGGAGTGGGAGTGGAAGGCCTTTTGTAATGGACTAAACTAGCTTATGCTTTGGGAGCTGGGCAACTGATAGTTTTGACCGTGAATGTAAAAATGTAAGGGTTTTATGTGTTTAAACAGAAGTAAAGCCCATTGTCTTCCATCCTTAAATACACCCCCATAGTAGGTATATTTATGACTGCAGTCTTTAATTGTTCAAACGATTTGAACTATATATATATAAAACAAGAATTGTGTAAAAATGTTTAAAAATACATTTAATAATATTAATTTTGTAAAAAATATAAAAACTTTTTTAAAAAAATACTGTGATAGATTATTGGAGCAGGCTGTTTTCTATAGAATTGAGACCAAAGCCATTTTTTTTGGTAAAGTGTAAAAATATCTTCACTTCTGGAGATAATTATACACCCCTTTTTCTTCAACCTAAAATAAACAATGTTGTATATTAAATTAGAAGTGGACAATATTTGCCTGTAGGCTAATAAAAGACAGTTTCTGAAATAGGTGAGTTATTCACCATAATGAGCATAATAATGATACTATATTATATGAGAACAGTAATGTAAGTACTTTGTAGTCGTTCTTGAACTCTGGTACTCCCTACTATGGAAATTTAGATTTTCTTACTTAGTGTAGCCCGTTCATTGACCAGGAGATTTTTATTCAGGCAAATATATTTTCTCATAGCCTGGCTTATAGCTGATATAGGTATCTAAGCAGTTGAGTTCTGGCTAGGCCTTGTGTTGTTTTAAAATTGTTTTTGTATTAAGTTTTTAATGGAGATTTTAAAAATGGGTATTTTATTATTGTTATACATTAAGACTGGGTATCAAATAATAAAATACATTCTTACCTAAAAACTTGGATACATTTGCAGCGTTTATGGTCGCAGCTCTTAGTTCTGAAGCTGAAAAGGCCCTTAAGTTTTCATTTCGTGCCCTTAGCATAATTTACTGTTATTGTAGTCACCCTGATAACATAGAATCATAGAATCATAGATTTGGAAGAGACCTTATGGACCATCCAGTCCAACCCTCTGCCAAAAAGCAGGAAAATTGCAGTCAAAGCACCCAGACAGATGGTCATCCAGCCTCTGCTTAAAAGGCTCGAAAGAAGGAGCTTCCACCACACTCCCGGGCAGAGAGTTCCACTGCTGAACTTCTCTCACAGTCAGGAAGTTCTTCCTAATGTTCAGGTGGAATCTCCTTTCTTGTAGTTTGAAGCCATTGTTTTGTGTCCTGGTCTCTAGGGCAGCAGAAAGCAAGCTTGCTCCCTCCTCCCTATGACATCCATTTGGTGTTCAGGAGCAAAGTAAAAGTTATTATAATGAAAAGAGTTGTACCCAATAGAGAAATTTATATAGTTCTTTAAAATATACTAGTTTAACCATATAAAGTTTTTTCTGATCCCATCACACCATTTCCATAACTGTGTGGCAGTATGAATACTTTAAAAGTATTTAACATTTAACAGGTTTTTTTCTGGTCACTTATTTATTATTTACTTTAAATCAAAGGACAACAAATATGCTTCATTAGGCAAGATAGTTTATCTTTAGTTTGTGGCTGCCATTGTGTCATATATTACTACAGTTATCCAGGATGTGCCGACTAACCACATGGTCATGATAACAAAATGAAAACATGCTTCCTAATGCTATAAAGTAGGCATAGGATCACTAAGATTTTTTATTTTGTCCCTAAATGTATTCATTCATTCATTAGGAAGAGGGGACAGGCTTGTTTTCTGCTGCCCTGGAGACTAGGGCCCCTTCTACACTGCCATATAATTCAGATTATCAAAGCAACATTATCTGCTTTGAACTGGGTTATATGAGTCTACACTGCCAAATAATCCAGTTCAA